ACAGAACACTCACCGGTGAACTCATTCACAAACAAAAGACGAACCCACACTGAACACAGGAAGAGACAAGACTAAATACAGGGAGGGGTAATCACAAGACGAGAAACAGCCGGGCAGGGGAGGAGAAACACAAGGGCGACAGGTGAACACAATCAGACAATTAGACACACCAGGGAAACTAACGACAGGGGAAAAACACAGGAAGAAGGACCAGACAATATACAAGAGGAAAACATGACAGGGGGAACTGCAAAACACCCAAAACAAGACATAACACAATAATCGTAACATTAAGGTGCTAACCAAAAGAGGAAAATCACAAACTCCTCAGTTGCTCCAAAACATTTCAAACAAGGGTGCAACCAAACTATGAGCAATCCACAGCAGAGACAGTGAAATAGGAGCTGCATGCCGGGGAATACCAGGTTACACTTTGACCCTCCTCGCTCCATAGTGTACACTCCCTGAAGAGTCCCACCACCACAAACAATACAGGATAGTCCCAGAGCACAGGCCCAGCACCAGCATGCACACCAGGGTCAGGACTTATGCACAGAGAGGGAACAAGAGCTGCCAAATCATGTTTAAAATGTTCGAAGGGAAGATAAAGAGGTTAGGTGAAGTATTAACCCAGCTACTGTGAATTGATCAACATGAGATTACTTTCTCAAAGCCATTATGCAAATGTTGGGGCAACAAAACTTTACCCATAAAAGGATAAATGTTTTTCCTATTTTTTGTCTATTGTGCATTCTCTATTATAAGTTGCAACAGATGTATTTATGAAATAGAACTTGATCATGGTTTTGATAGTTTGTAATCATATGGTTAAAGGTAGGTATGTACGTTTGAGAAACCGGCTCGAGATCGCAAGAATTTGAAAATACACGACCGGAGAAAATCTGCCACTTCCTTATAGAGCCCCTCCTCCAACACACATATGACCAATGAGGGCACGAGATAAGTTTGTGCACAGATGGAAGGCTGACAGGCAGGTAGGCCATCCAGTTATTTTAGCCGGGCCGACTAAAATGATTGGTCGTGCTTTTTACAGTACTACGGCTTCCTCAGATGACGTTTTTTTATGGATTTTTTGTCAAAGCACTGAAGATATTCATTGCTAAGAGCATTCCATGGAATATAACAAAAAGTTTATCCTCTCGAGCCGGTTTCTCAAACTTACATACCCTACCTTTAAATCTGTTTCTGTTTACATGTCACACAATGATTAAGTGAGGATCAAATAAAGGATTTCAGTTGTTTATGTTTTTACAACACCCCTTCCATCATGTTTAAAATAAAGGGACCAAATTCTATTTTCATTCAAACATATTGTTGGTTTTTTTCATTTAATTTGATTCTGTTTATTACACTGAGGAAACAAGGATAACATACAAATGGCATAGCAGACACATTACTTCTCAGACTTAACACTGTGATCAATTAAACTTCAAGTCAGCAGCACTACATGATTAATGTTGTATCAGCACTCTACAAGCCACGCTGTAACACAGATGGGATCTTTTTCACATTCAAGAAGTAAACGGTGCATATTTGACTTTTGCGAGCTCATGTGTGTATAGGTTGACTACAGAGTAGGAAAAGATCCTTAAATACTGGGTTTTTCTTGTTGCCTGTACACTGCTTGAACCTGTATTTGGTTAGAATAGGGAAGCAGTTATACAACATGTAGCTTTATACAATACTTCATGCCTCTGGTTTATATTGAGCCCACCATAGAAACTCTCATCAATTGACCACATCTCCTATAAAGTTTCTTAACTATGACAACTCAAACATAAAAGCACAAATGTCCGTAAAGTCAGAGACCTGCTTTGGTCATATGAATGTCCAATGTATGAGTTAAACAAAAAGTGGTTGCATGATTTGTGATTAGTAACTGCTTCAAAGATTGCTAGTGATGATTTTGCTGGAGTGCCAACAGCAGCTGATCTATCACAGTTATTTTCCTGAGAGACAGAAGGCATATACTGTACCTGATCACACATATACAGCAGAACGAGGGTATATCATTAAAGGCTTACAGTTTATTATATACAATCTGAAATCCCCTTTTGATTTTAATTTATTATTTGCATTATACTGCGTCAATTTATATCAGGGTTTTGTGTGAGCATAAACATAATCAGATTCACTTCACATGCATTTGGAGCAGGGGAAAGCTGCCGGCCTTTTCACCGTAGGCAATGTTGAATTTGGCATAATTTAAAGTCATTATAGCTGAAATCAAACTTCAAATGTCAGATTATTTCTTTTTCTGCCCTTCGGGTGCATCCTTGCAGTCGATTTGGTTTTGCTGTTCTTTCAGAAATCGTAGGATCTTCTCGATCGTGGCCTCCTGATATTCGTGGGACCATCTGTGTCAAGACAAAGGTAACAAGCAATTAAAACCTTAAGAAGAATTAAGCCCTGCATATAAAGCAGGTAAGTTCTCTAGAGGATGTTTTACATGAATCACAACAACAATAAAAGCCCAATTACACAGATGTGCTAACCAACAAAATATTTCTACAGTAAAGTTTTGGTTTATTTAAGTTTTAAGAGCAAGCAGTTACTCACTTGATGCCGTTGAAATTGAGAATTGACCTCATGTCCTCGGGCAGAGACATGGGGTCAGGCCACATGAAATTATCTGTGACAGGAACTATGTTCTTCTTCCCAGCCAAGGCGGTGACTATCTCCTGCAAGATTAATGAGCATTCCTTTGAGTCTATAAAAACTATAAAACACAAATGTTCTACAGATGTAAACAGGGAGGGGGATAGGGATTATGAATGTGACAGTACAAACAAAATTCCCAAGCAGCTAAAGTATCAATATGAATCCAGAATACGATTAAGGTGCATGGGTGTGAAAGCTTTAAAGGTGACCTATCATGCAAAATGCACTTTTGTACGTTTTTTATACATGAATATGTTTCCCCGGTGTTCCAGGGAACTCACCAAGTGTCAGAAAACACAACCCTCTCTATTTTCCTCCATACCCAAATCTCTTAAAAAGGGGCTGCAACGGATCTGATACAGACTGATCCAGATTTGAACACTTCTATGACGTCACAGAAGTGGCGCTACGGCTATTGGGCCAACTCCACCAATCAGGAGGAGACAGCCATGGACATTGCCGTTGGAAAGCGCTGGAGACGCTGTAGTACATATGCCAGGCCTGTAGATGGTGCTGTTCTCACAGAATCAGCCCATGCAAAGACAGTGTTAAATTGAGCGAAATGAGGAATGGCTAAAATGCATGATCTGTTTGGTATTTTGAAAAATAAAAAGTATAAATATGCCTTATATAGGTATGGTCCTACACTATATTATTCAAATATAGCATGATAGATCCACTTTAAGCTGGATTCCTTGCGTCCCTCACTTGCGTCGTTTCCCTGCGACTAGTCCCTCCCACCAGGGAAGCATGGAGAGACNGTATTGGACATGACTTGGAAATGAACACAGCTGTCTATATGAGGTCCCACATTCCTTGGACCTCATGACTTGGTTTGTGCTCTGATATGCACTGTCAACTGTGGGACCTCATATAGACAGCTGTGTTCATTTCCAAGTCATGTCCAATACATTGAATTTACTACATGTGGACTCCAATCAAGTTATAGAAACATTGAGTGGCAAAGGGTGTGAATACGTATGTACATGTGATATTTCATTTTATTATTTTTAAAAAGTTTGCTAAAAATTCTTTAAAAACGTTTTCGCTTTCTCATTATGCGGTATTGGGATATTGAGAACAAACATGAATTTAGAAACGTAGCAATCCCCCGAACTGCACCAGCAGCGTGGTCGGACCCCAGGCATTCGATACACTGGCGTTGGAGGTCGGCGCCAGCAATAACGCCCGGGCACGAAGGGCAGGGCCGTTGCTGCAGTAATGGGGAGTCCATTTTCTTCCTTTTATCGTTTTATCCGTCTCTCTTCACTCAGTGTATCTCTCTTGCTTGCTGAAGAGAAAGGGATGACAATCAGGAGGCGAGGCCTCCTTTTATGCGGTGAGATGCGCGCGCATTCAGGCCCCCCCGGGGCCGGCTACGTCCAGGGGCACCGCCAGGGATTTTGAAAAGATATCACATTGGTTACTAACGTTTTTTTCTCTTAATGTTCTACAATTGTTTGGGCCCTTGTCAGTCATGGGGGGCCCCTGGCTACGTCTATAGAAGTCTCAGTGGATGAATGCTTGCATGATATGATCAAGGGGAGTACCCATAGAGTCCAGTAGAGGGCGGAGCCTGTGAGAGATATAACCTAATTTCCACCTGGCATTAATAATGTATTTTGTTTGATTGATTATTTTTCAAAATAACTAGTTAAGAAAAGGCCTGACCACGGCAATATTTAAAGTGCAGGGGACATGAAAAGAACACATTTAACAGTTTGATGTCAAAGTAGAAATACCAAAACTGTGTGACTACATGTGATTACTCAAGTTAATGTTTCTAGATGTACACGGTATGTGAAAAATATCTAGTTGAAAATACACATTGCATAAAGATGTACATTACATGATCATTTAGTGACTGGACAGGGAGGCAGTTTTAGTTTGTATTTACATGAAGATCAATTATCTTCGATTGAGGACAGGCACTGGTCCGCCTGTCTGCTCGCAAACTGTTTGATGTTAATGTGTGTCATGTCCGCAGGTCCTCATAAACCCTGTGACTGATTCAGACCAAGCATCCTCCGCCTGCCTGCAGCTGGGAGCTCTCTCCACAGGAGGAAGAACAGACTGGATAAAAAGAAAACTATCTGGAGCCTTGAGCATTGGCTTGAATATCAGCATTCTGGAAAGATTATGGACTTCCCTGACAGGTTTATCCCATGTATGTACACATAACAAACTCATGAGAATTTGCAATATCGGTGATCGTTTGATTTGCCTCTCAGAGAAAGATTTATCACGTAACATTAGGGGCTTTTTTTAATCAGACAGCACCAATTTAGATCCTCATGTGTCAGAAGACAGATGTTCAACACTGTGGATGCAGGATTGAAAAAACACCAGGTTTCTTATAGCTGTAGGTGGAGACATTCATTCCTCTGTCAAGAAGGAGGGTGCTTTGTGCAGGCTGCTATTGCTTGTTACAACAATGCAAATACAGTTATACTGTAACTGTAAATTGTTAGAGAAATGTATATCTTTGTTCTATTGTCATTAACCTTTGTCTGACTTTCCTCCTTTGTGGCTTCATGCACCTTGGTTCCTTTAGAATATGTCAAACTTACACACATCACACTGTTTAGTTTCACATTCAAAAACCTTTACCATTTTTCTGAAGCAGCTGTAGTTTTAACTTAACTTCCCTCAGACCAGAGTCTCAAAACGTTATGCTCTAGTGAGTATTTCTGGCTGTAGGACATTGAGTGTTTTCTAAATGAACAACATGTTCATGCCAATGTGTAACAACTTAGTAGAACATGTTGTGAAATGTACAACTGACAAACAGATCAAACACAAATCTGAAGTTAGGAACAGGCTAGCAAACCAAGCAGCTGGCAATCAAGGTCAAACAAAGGGCAGAGCATACACACTGAGAGTTCGAAAGGGGCAAAACATGCAACTAATATCAGGCACAGTAAAAGGGTGGAGCACTGAGGCAGGGAAGCACAGTAGACAATCTGACAGGGAATGAGGGGAAGTGGGCCGGTTTATATTATGCTGGGATGGGAAACAGGTGTGGGAGTCTGCTGATCTGGTGACGGTGGACGAGCGGGGTTACTGCAGGGCAGGTGGGAGGGGCAGCTCTGAATTGAGAAGAGAGTTAGTGCTTAGGTAAAGAAACGGTGGGAATGTTATGGAAAAGCAGATATGATAAAGCAACAATCCCTCACTGTGTCTTACTGATGTGTTTATTTAAAATATAGTTTTAAATGGAGCTCTATGGCACCTAGGAATTCTACTTTGATACTCACTATACATTTTGCAGTAGGAGGCATTCACTGTTGTAGGGGTATGAACATGAGATGTGTTTAACAGGCCCTTTTAATGCTTTTGGGGGTTTTCCCTTTCCTGTAGTTAGTGTGTTATATAGGTTTTGGTGCATGTCAATGGTCTGCAAAGGCCAAAATCCCAAAGTTCCCTCCAGAGGGAGTTTCGATTAGACTACTTTGTTTTCTTCCGTAACTTAGTGACATCAATATGCAATACTCGCGTTTCCATTGGCTAGCACTCCAACGCATTGTACGTGATAGGGGGCGGTACATCTCTAAGAGGTTGACCAATCACAACAGAGTGGGCTCTGGTTTCAGACAGAGGGTGAAAAGAGGTGCTGCAGCACAGGCAGTAAGAGAAAAATAAAGAGCTTTTTGAACATTAAAGCATGGAGACATGTCCCAGAAGAGGCACAGAATACTCATATGAACCTGAAAATGTGCATAATAGGTCCCCTTTAAGTAAATAAGAGAAGTCATATTTAACAAAAATAAATATTTGTAGTTAACAAAACACTCCATCCCTTCACCAATACATACCTTTCGTTTTCAAAAGACATTCCAATCGCATTAATATTCAAGTCATGGTAATATATATTGCCCTAAATCACAACTTTACCTTGCATACACTACCCATTATATAATGTCCTCTTTAACAAGAAGAAAACATTAAGCTATCAAAAATATTTATACTTTCACGTTTTTAATCTCAGTGGGAATAATGGGTGGTTACAGCTTTACAAAACTAAAGCCTGCAGCATTAAAGAATTAAGCAACACATGTTCAGTTAGCCACTAAAACTGCAACAAATGATTGATTTGATTGTGTCTTCATAAACTATCATCAACAAATATCTGTGATCAGGGCTGGATAGGCATCTATTTGCTGACTTAACCTTGGGGAAACACTGGTTCAGTGAAGAGGCCTTTCTGAGAGAATCATGACCAGATGCTGCAGCTTTTTCCAATTTGTTTTGAAGACTTTTCCCTCGTGTTTCCTCTCTGTAACACCAGCCCCTCTTTCTTGCCAGGGCCTTTTGATATAGGAGAATAACAGGGTGGAGCTAGGTGAATTTCCTATTGAAGTTTATGGCAGTCGTTATATATCCCATGTGTGAACGGAGGGGATTGGAAACGCCTGCTTCCTGCCAGCTTTATGTCTTTTGACTTTCTCTGAGAGAGATACTAGCAACACTTATTTTTATTGACTCACATCCTGCATTGTCATGGTATACTCCCCTCAAAGTTTAGTATATACGAATCAATACATTTACACAACTCCCTCTCGAGGGAACACAGGGATTTTAGCCTTTGCAGACCATTTGCATGCACACATACCTACAGTATATAACACACTACAGGAAATATAAAAGCCCAAAAAGCATAATAGGTCCTCTTTAATTTAAGGATTTTAGAACAGCATATCAATTTAATTATTACAAATATTTCTGTTAAACTGTTTCAGGAGCATTGCATCTTCAATCAATCTACCATATATAGGCATATAGCCATGCACGTGATACTGACGCACATAACAAATAATAAGTGAGCCTTAAATGAATACATTTGAAAACCATAGTATGACTCACAAAAATACCTTTAGACGGTGAGTTTAATCTAATTTATATTATCATCAAGCCTAACTATCAGACAATAATAACTCGATGAAAATGGCTCCAACACCCCAGAATGATTAATCATTTGACTCCCCTTACTCTGAGGTTCTATGACTCAACTTATGTTTCAAGGAGGGAAGGTGTAAACTGTCAGTGTGATTTGATCCTGCTCAGGGTTGAGAGGGTAACCTTAAAAATGTGTTCCAATACATTACTAGTTGCCTTTAAAAATGTAAACAGTAACCTAATCTGAGTATTATCATAAGTGATGTAACCTGATTACTTTCCTTTGCTTTAGGATAACCTCAATTACAATTACATGCAAATCAATACAAGAGAAAATAAATAAAAAGATAAGATTGTTTTTACATGTCATGGC